ACTTCCTCCTGCCTCCATCTCCCTTGAGCTGGAGTTATAGGTCCTACCACGGTTTACTCAGAGCTGGGGCATCTACCCCAGGCTCGGTACTCGCTAGGCAAGTACCCGCCAGCTGAGCTAAGTCCACGGCACAGACTGAAAACGGCTTTGCTTTTCATGCGATATAAACCTGATCTCCTGAAGGTCTTTACACCCAGCCAAGTCAAGTCCCCCAGCGTCTCCCCTTAGCTCATATACTCTGGGCAAACTCAAGGAAAGGCCATGGCGCCTGTTTCCTGCCGCTAGCCTGCAGCTACATGCCAGCACCACCACTCTTTCGGCTGGTTCCAGGAAGCACTGACCATCCAGGAGGCGCTAGTCCTGAGTTTTCAGTCCTGCAAGGCCTCCAGCCTTCATCCAGCTCCATTGGCTGTGTGTTCTGGGAGAAATCGGATTAAATTAAATGTACCTAATTATCCCATACTTGGCTGCCAGGACTCAGGACTGAGCGCTGTGGGTTGTGGAAATCCCATTCCTCCTTGGACCAGGGTGTAGTCACAGGCACCAGTAGATGGCAAGACCTAAATACAGTGTATCCATCACCTCCAAAGCCTGGCCCAGGTGGTCAGGGCAGGACAAAGGCTGAGCAAAGCTGCACACTGACATCTTTGTGCCCTGGGCATGAGGACACCCTTTGTCATATCAACCCCAGCCTAAGCTCCACTCTGCTTTAGTTTTCACATCTGAAAACGTGGGTTGCTAACGGCACTGGTCTGTAGGAAAGGGGCCTAGTAACGGGCACAGGGGAGGGTGTGGAGTGTCCACGTGAGGTTCCTGATGCTGGAGTTTACAATGTCACCACCACCGACTCTGTGCCGGATATTTTCCCAATACTACGACAAAATACCTGAGAGCAAAAGAACTGCAGAGAGGAAGGGGTCGTTTAGCTCATGGTTTCAGAGGGTACAGTCTGTGGTGACAGAGGGCATGGTGGAGGAGACACTTACGTCATAGCAACCAAAAAGGAGAGCAAAGTCAGGAATGCAGGCAACATGTGCTGGGTTTCCTTCCCATTTCCCTTTGCGTCCATCCATCTCAACCTGTGGGAAGTTGTCACCCACATTCAGGGAAGATCTTTCTCCTCAGTAAATTCTCACAGACATGTGTAGAGGAGAGGTATGTTTTGGTAATCTTCAAAGCTTTTTAGACCAATCAGGTTGATGACTGAGATGAACCAGCACAACCATCACCATGATCAACATCACCACCATCACCACCATCATCACCATCACCATTACCACCACTGTCACAATCACCATCATCACCATGATCAACATCACCACACCACCACCATTACCACCACCATCGCAATCATCATCCTCATCAACATCACCATCATCACCACTATCATTACCATCACCAGGATCATCATTGCCATACACAAAGCCAACTGTGGCAAGCTGGCACTGGTAGCTTCACCTCCATTGCTTACCAAGGACACTGGTGAACTCCATCTTGCATCTGCCTGTATTCCCTCTCTTCCAGACCATTGCTCCTGCTCACCCTTCCTGGCACCCATACAGTGGACCATAAATATCTTCACGTGGTGTTGAGACTTCCCTCTGCCTTCTTACCCTACACAAGGACTTCCTTTTTCAGACACACCCACCCTCTGGATGATCTCCAGGACGTTGTGCCAGCATGCTCTTCCAGCTCCCATAGGTGCTGGCCTCCTGCAGAAGGGAGCCCAAGCTGACTTCTTCTCCCACAGCTGCACGCTAGTGTAGTTGCCCATAGAGGCTTGGATGTGTTAACACAAGAGAGACAAGCAAGTAAAGAGATGTGGTTAAAGACCTTAGCACAGGCACAGGATACCAGTCAGGGGCTCCCTTGGGAATTAAAAATTATCACAGTGGCTGGGGTGTGGCCCTATGGAAGGGCAATTGTCTCACATACACAGGCCCTGGGTTCCATCCCTAGCACCAAAAAACATACAAGGCTAAACACAAAATTCCTCTTGTCCATCCCAGAGGATGGACCTTACCCTTCAGGACCCACTGCCCAAGGCCATGTGACAAACAAGCCCCTTGGAAGAGACTCTTCTATCCCTTCTGAGCAGAGAAGCCTGTACTTCCAAGGCATTTGTCTTTTTATGGTTGAAGTGACATCATTTCTCCTTCTCAAGCAGACATTCCCATGCAGATCCACCCCCACCCCTTCCTGTCGGTTGGGAGGACCGATTTCCTGGACTAGACAATGGCTGCTTGTACGCACAGACTGTTAGCCAGGAGACGGTAGCGTGCACAGCCAGGAGATCTGTGCCTCCCTCAGCCCAGAACTGGGGACAGGAGCAGCCCTGCACAGGGACACTATAGACCTTGGATCAAGAGCACACGGGCCCTGCACAAGGCTCTTGGAAAGACAGAAGCAGGCTTTCTAAGCAGGTCATGTGCAGGCAGTCCTGAGGACTGCAGATGCTTCCTTGTACAGACTCTTTCCATTCCTTCCTTAGTGGGAGTCCAGCCCTGGTGTGTCTGCATGTGGGGAGCTACAGTTTAGAGGTTGCCTTGAATCTCAGAAGAGGCTTTAAACTTCTAAACAGTCTGGAGACTGTGAAAGACTATGGAGACTTTTGAAGTTGGGCTAAATGCCTTTTGCATTACTCTGTGGCTGCAAACCTATAGGGCTAGGCAGAGAAATGTGGTGGTTTGAAGGAGAATGGCTCCTCACATTCATATATTCGAGCCCCAGTAAGTAAAACTATTTGAGAAGGATTAGGAGGTGTGGCTTTGCTGGAGGTGGTGGGCTCTGAGCTTTCCAAAGTCCATGTCAGGCTCCCTCGCTCTCTCTGCCTGTGGATCTAAATGTAAGCTCTCAGCTACTGCTCCAGTACCCTGCTCCCACCAGAATGGTTATGGATTGACCCTTTGAAACTCTAAACAAGTCCCCAGTTAAATTCATTCTTTTATAAGCTGCCTAGGTCATGAGGTCTCTTCACAGAACAGTGACTAAAATGGGACATTATTGTTAAAAACACTGTGAAATACTACTCAGCAATAAATATAAAAAAAAAAACTTATTGTGGGTGCAATGACCTCAAAGCATTGTACAGAGTAGAAGGCAGACTTGGATGAGCCCAGGCTGTCCCTGTCCATTTCCATGCCATTAAAAGAACCAGAACAGACTCAGCTGCTCCATGGTGACAGAAGCCACAGTGTTGGTGCTGGAGGTAGTCAGGAAAGAACTTTTTAGAACTCACTGTGGTGGTTTGAAAGAAAATGGCCCCCAAAGGAAGTGACACCAATGGGAGGTGTGGCCTTGCTGGAGGAAGTGTGTCACTGTGGAGGCAGGCTTTGAGGTCTCGTATATGCTCAAGCCACACCTAGTGAGTCCCTGTTGCCTGCATGTCAACACATAGCAGCTCCCTCTCCAGTGCCACATCTGCCTGCATGTCCCCATGCTCCCCACAATGATGGCGATGGACTAAGCCCTGGGAACTGTAAGCTGACACCTCAGTTGAATCCTTTATAAGAGTTGCGGTGGTCATGATGTCTCTTCACAGCAATAGAAACCCTAACTAAGGCATTCATTCTGAAGGAAGTCTGGGCTACACAGGTGTGCTTGTGAAGACAGCATATTACACACTTAGGATCTGGGTGTTTTGCTTTATATAAATTATACCCCAACTTTTTACTCTGGCTTTCCTTTTCAGTGCTGGAATTGAACACAAATGTGTGCTCTACCACTGACCTACATCCCCAGCCATAGCCCAGATTTAAAATATGACATGGGGCACCACTGTGTTTAACAAAACAACAAACAAACAGGCTGAGAAGCTGGCTTGGGAAAAGGTGCAAGGTTGACAACCTGATAGGTCCCTTTTCTAATCTTTTTAAAAATAAAAGTGACATATGTTCTGAGTATGTACCCATCCCTCTGAGGAAAGAGGTTCTGCCCTGGGGCCCACTGGGGCGACCACATGCTCAGGTGCCCAGGCCCCTTTCCTGCTTCCCACCACCCTGCATGCACCCCCACCTTCATTCTACATGTTAGGAAAGCTCTCCATCATCACTGCCTACGAGAAGAGAGCATGCGCACAGCACTCCCTCACTCCGTATGGATGGAGGCTGCACTAGGTCCTAAAACAGGGATCGGCTTACCTCAGGGACAATCAATGCCCGCCACTGCAGTGCATCCGGATGCTTCCTCATGGCCTCTTCACATTGCACCATTTCACCAGTGAGAGCAAGGAGATGCCCAAGGCTCAGCCACATTCTTGCAGCAGTTGCACAGCTGAACACAAGACTCCAGAAGGGTCACCATCCCACAACCCTCCAGGGTTTCCCATACCCCTACCCCACCACAGGGGTTCTTGACTGGGGCATTCCTTCCACATCAGGCAAAACTGGAGGTGTTCTGGTTGTCACTATGGGGAAAAGGAGTCCTGATGAGACCCGGTGGGTTGGAGCTTGGGGTCTGTGAGGTGTGAGCACCCAGCCTGCCCTGTAAAAGTAAAAGTAGTCAGGCCCAGAGGGGATAAGCACCACGGCTGTGAGGCCCTGGGGTAACCTGACTCAAAACACACACACACACACATGTATACATGCATGTGCACAGTGCACACATGTACATACTCACTCAGGATAGCACCTGAACCTCCATTCCAGTGTTCCAAAGAGCATTGAAAGCCAGGGGGCTAGAGAGATGGATCAGAGAATGAAGTACTTGCTGCATGGGGGTGAGTAGAGGTTGGATGACTAATGTGTAAGGCAGGCAGGTGTGAGAGCCGCCAGAGATGGGGATTCTCAGAGCAACCTGGCTAGCCCAACTAGCCAAACTGGTGAGAGCCGGGCTCTGTACGAAATTGAGTGATTGAAGAAGGACACCTGACGTCAACACCAGGCTTCCCCAAGCGCATGTGCACACTCATGTGAACACACAGGCACACCAAACACAATACATGTGCAGAAAATAAGGAGCTTATGAAAGGAAGCAAATCCCACCCACAAACATGACCCAGACACCATTAACATTGTATTTATTGTTATTTAAGCCGCTCAGCAAAACATATACACGTATATACAGTATGCGTGAATACGGAAGACTCAACTTTACATATTTTTTTAAAAAAGAAAGAAAAATACCACTCAGTTTCATGAGCTATTGTCACTGTCTTCCAACCAAGCATTTCAGAAATGGTTTCTTTAAGACTCAAAAAAGCTTACAGGCTCGCGCACGGCACCGCAGGGTTAAGGGTTCATATTTTACATGTGCAATAGCGATTTCCTTCTCTGCTGGAGTTGGCTGTGTACTGATTACAGGGTTCCCAGGCTTTCGCGCTTCGGGCGTGGTTTTCTTCCACTTTTATTCGTTCTACTAAACCAAATTTCATGATGTGACATCCTTTTGCTTAAGGCTGCTTCACCCTGGGGTGGTGGGGAATGAGACAATGAAAACACTGGACACTCCCGGGGTTGGAGATGGCCTGAGCCACACACTGGCAGCTGCACGTGGACTGATGCTGGGAAGTTTGTTGATGGACGTTAGGACATTTGTTCCCCAGCCTTGAGCAGTGAAGGAGAAGTCATTCTTGTTTGGGAGTGAAAAACTGGCTCTCAGACCTCTAGACGTTGCAAACTCTGAGAGTTAATGTAGAGTCTGGACCCAAACCTGGAGGGTGCTCCTGTGGCCCGTGGAAGGGGAAGCCATCCCCTCAATGCTTTGGGCACAGAACAGAGGACCCTTCCTACTCAGCAGCCCATGTCTCCTGTTTCTGTCTGCCCTCTGAGCCCCCCACACTGCCCAGGCAACAAGTGCAGACCCTGGGGCTCCGATCTCAGCCAAGAGGAGGAGGAGGACGAGAGAGAGAGAGAGAGAGAGAGAGAGAGAGAGAGAGAGAAGAGAGCGCGCGCCAGCTCTTGGCAAGTGGCTCCCACAGTTGAAAGTCCCTTGACACAAACAATGTGGGTGTCTGGAGAGCCCCGAGCCTTCAGGCCTCTTGCTAAGAAAAGGAAGGGGATCTGTCAAGTTGGGGTGGGGGCTCAGAAAGGAGCAACTGGGAAGACACACTGATAAGAATGGCTGAGCTGAACTAGAGCTGGCTCTGGTCGGACCCTCCCAGGGACGGACAGCCCCACAGCAGTGGGCACAGAGGTCGGTCAGGTGGAGATCACACCCTGAGGTGTCCACATCAGCACTGAGATCTCTGCTTGGGAGCAAGAACTGCCTCTTGAAGGGACACACTGGGCAGGGCTCTGCTTTTAAATCAGAATGAAATGGAATCAGAAGGGCAGGAAGGGAACATGAGGCCCAGGAATGGACATCATGAAGCCACTCCTTCTATTCTCCTTCCCCTCATCCCTGTGGGAACTGCAGGACCAAAGAGAGTGTCTCAGCCTGAGTGTGGCTGCCTTAATCCCTCCTCCCAGGGATGGACTCCCAGGAGGAGGTGGGAGAGCTGAGGTACCCTGGCTGCCACCTGGGAGAGCAGGGTCAGAAAGTCACTAGGACAACTGACTGCCTCTTCCCTGTCCCCTCTGAGGGTCACAAGGCCACCCTGCTCAGCCCAGAAAAGGCAGTGTGCAACGGTGAAGTCAGTAAAGGAGAAGGGAGTTCGTGACCCTGGCAGACTCCTTCCTCCAAGTGGCTGGACACAGCATCCCAGCATCCGGGACCCAACCTAGGAGGGACTGAAAGAACAGTCCCCAGTGGGAGAAACAGAAGCTAGCTGAAGGCTAAGGGCCAGAGAGGCAGTGGAAAAAGCCCAGTCCCTGGAAGTTCCTCTAGCTGCTCGTGTGTCTTGTCTCCTAACTGGTGACGGAGTAGCGAATGCTGTGGCAGCCCTGCAGCCTCCCCCCGGGAATATTCCAGAACACTACTCTCCAAGATCTCCATCTTAGTGATAAACAAAGCAAAGGGGAAAGAAAAGGCGAAGGGGGAGAATAAAAGAGAATAAAAAAGAAAAGAGGGTAAAAGGTGCACCCTGCCTGGGCTTAAACAAGGCAAGGGCCTTCTAGAACACACTCCAAGTACAGAAAACGGGGTTCTCTAGCAGGAAAACGGCTTGAGCCAGTGTTTGCTGTTGGCAGAGGACTGGTACTGGTGTCATGACATGGCACACAGTTTCTTTAAAATAAACTTTTGAGGTTCTCTTTATCACCTTCCCCAGCCCCTTTCAGTGAACCCTTTCCATTCCGAGTGCCACTAAGCAGGTACCAACCTAGACAAAAACATGAGTCTGCTCAGCCACAGAGGCCCTCATGAGTGGGTAGGGCAGGGGCTCCCAGGGGCTCAAGTCAGGGCGGCCACAAATGTCCCGAATCGGTTGGAGATGTCAGAGTGCAGAGACCGCCACGTGGGTACAGAGGTGCGGGCCTTGGGGTCACCATCTGTGCAGTGGACAGTCAGGCACTGCAGGTGGCTGCCAGGCTGGGTGGCTGGGGCCTTGTTGGTGGGGAGATCATGGGCTGTGGAGAAAAAAGACACAAGTTAGTGACCACTGGGGACCCGGTAGGGGTGACGGCAGAGGGGTGATGAGAAGTAGCCTCTAGCCCTCCTTCATGGCTGGAGATGGTTGCAGAGGCTTGGCTGTGAAAATGGCATAAGAAAAGCCCACCACACCACACCCATACCACCGCTATGTCTGCTGCTCCCAGGAAGCAGAAATAGGATAAAATGACATTGGAATTTGCCCATCTCTGGTGGACAAAGATTACCAGACACCAGGAGAGCTAAGAGCCCACCTGAAAACACATCACAGGACTTCACAAATATCCTAAAGGAGTGGAGGATACTACCTCGTCCTCTGGACAGACACGTGCTGTGGGCTTCCTGTACACTCAGAACTTCCTGAAATAGACAGACTGCATAGCACACCCTCGAGCTAAGGACAGCCAGGTCCAGAGGGTGGGATGGCCTATCTCAGGGGACACGGAGGAAATTCTGCTGGCGGCATGGAGGAGGAATCAGTGCCAGTGGAGTGAGAACGCTGTGTGGTCACCCACCTAGAAGTGTGTGCTCTCTTAAGGAACAGAGAATGGGCTCAGAGGAAGTGGCTTGGGGGTAGGCTGGCAAGGGGGGAGCCTATGGCCACCCTACTACATCCCTCACCCTCTCAGCCCTGCACTTTAAAGACAGGCATCTGTTGCCCACATGGGCACAGAAACCTGCCTGGAGAATACAGTTCTAGCCCTTCACAGGAAATCCAGTCCCGTCCTCTGAAAATGGGATGATCCAGGGACGCTGGTCTCAATGCCACAGTGATCAAGCCTAGAACCGCATCCAAGCAATTGTGTAAACTGTAAAGTGCCGTGAAGTACTACTCACAGACCATATCAGTAGACAAGCAGAAGAAGGAATTGGGGTGGGGGCCCAACTAAGACAAAGGAGGCACACCCAGATACTGACCTCCAGGACCCGCTCATCCCCATCATTACAGCAGAAGCTGCCCACCCACCCCGCCCAGTACCTAGGATTAAGAGTTGTCTTCCACCACAGCCTGGCCCTAACAGGGTGCTAAGCCCCACCCCCTGGATCAGACAAGCCTCTATGACTTAGGGCTCCACTCCAGGGCTTCAGAACCTGTAAGGTGGAGAGAAACCTGTCTTGGCTTCTGCCCTCACGCATTCAGTTCAATGGACAAGCACTTCTCTGGGACCTGTTATATCTTGGCATGGTGGCCCATGGAGCCTCCCGAGTGACACCAGGCAGCAAACAGCACTCTGATCAATAAGGGCGGCGCGGGAGGGGTGGTCCCACTGCTGAGTGCCATAGCTCTACTGCTTTTTCTCTCGGGGCCTTGGAATGGTCCCTGAGAAGGTCACAAGGGAGCCACTCAGAAACCTGTGAAGCCTCTCACTTCCTAAATCTTGGTCAGGTGGTCTGCCTCCTACCCACGACATGGACTCTTCACTCATCTTGTAAAAGAAACAGGATTCAAGCTCAGGACAGTTTGGATTTTGCCAGTGGGCCCATCCTCAGCGCGCCTCAGGATGGCAGACAGGCCCCAGGTCCCTGAGCACATGCAGGCCCCAGCTTACTGTAGCAGTGCAGTCCTGGCTGTCTGAGCCACTCGCGCTTCACCTCCAGCAGCAGCCCTGCTTCCTGTCCCGTGTTATATTATTCCAGAGTGCAATGTCCCATGAGGGGCAGGTCATCCTCTTAAGAGATTCATGCAGCCATGCCTGCATCCCTTACACAGAAAACCAGAGGCTCTGAGGAGCAGAGATGAGTCAGAAGGGGCTCAGGGCAGGAGAGAGCCAGGCCCTGGAAGGTGATATGACAGAGGTATTGCTTAAGCACATATGACTGTCAGGCTTGGGTAAATCCATTCCCAGGCCACCCTCTGCTTCTGGCCACTCTCTGCTCCCATACCTAGGCTGACGCTTCTTAAACTATCTGGATCTCAGAGCCAGGCAGTTGTTGTACCTGGGGTGGAGTCCAGGATTATCTGATTCTATCCCCAACAAACCAAGAATGTGCTGCCCTTCTTCCATTTTGGCAGAAGCACCTGTGCCTCAGAGAGGGTGAGGGGGTAGCCTGATGCCACACATCATAGGTACAGAATTCCCCAGTGTCAGCAGGACCTTGTGAGGCCATCAACCCCAGCCCAGTGTCCACACAGTCCTTTGAGGAGAGAATACTGTTCTCTGACGATGCAGGCTCAATTGTACTCATCCACCATCAGTGCCATTACAGTGGGGGAGCCACCGTACCCTAGGATGGTGGCCCTCAGACTGTCGACTCATGGATGACAAATCTATCCCACAGAAGTTGTTCAAGTCCCAGCCTGTCCCAGCCAAGAAGACGCTAAGTTCCCAAGCCTCAGGTGATGAACACACCCAGGCCTCCATGTCAGCAATCCAGAGATAACACTGTTCCCCCTCACCTGGGGCTGAGGGACACCTGGGACTCCTGGGTACCCAGTGCTGGCAGATGTCATAGATTGGCTTTCTTTCAAGCCTGGAGTTCCTGATAGATGAGGGAACCCCCACACCTCGGCTGCTGGCCTATCTGTAGTAGCCGTTCCCCCATTTGTTACTGGAAGTGCTATTCTGGGTAAGTGCAGGCCTCATGCAAACAGGTGAGGATGGAGGGGTACCATTGTCTCTATACACCCTGCATGAACCTCATTGACAGCGGCATTCCAGGAGTGAGTGCCCATAGCTGACTGGTCAAGAGAGAACAGGAGAGTTTGGACTGCACTTCTGAGACAAGATAGATTCCTCACGCACATAGCCAGGATCAAGGCTGGCTCTAGGTGGCCCCTGCAAGACCTCTCGAGGCCCTTCCTCACAAGACCAATCCCCGACAGCAACACATCCTGCCCTAGGTCATCAGTGCTGATGGCTTTGCCTCATGGCACTGAGGTCAGAGCCTGTTCGACTCGCTCACTGTAGCCACAAAGACTCAAACAGGCTTCTGTCTCAGGCATCAGACCACAGTGAGACAGCAAGGCATCAGCCACAGAAGCAAAGGAGGAAGTCCTGCAGTGAGGCCAGGAGATGCCGATGTCGCCTTACTTCTTCTGTGGGTCCAACAGCAATGGCAGGCAGCTCCTGTGCAGTAGGGTATCTCTGTGTCTCACCCATGGACTTCCAGACCCTGGAGTCTAAGAAATAGAGAGCAGTCGTGCAAAGGGACCAGGGAGGTCAGGAATGTGAGGGGCCTGACTTGCCTTGAGCAGCTACTGGAGCAAGCTGGCGGCTGGCTGCCTGTTTTCTTCCCTCTCCATTTCCTCCCTCCTCCTCCCTTCTTCCTCCCCCCTTCCTTTGCTTCCTGGGCTTCCTCCTCTATCCTTCCATTCTTCTAGGTCAACACAGCAATCCTGGCTGCACCCTGCTCTGTACTGAAGCCCCAACCAGGATTCAACATGGGGACCATGCTCAGACATCAGCAGCCTTGTTGGGCAGCCATGTTCCTGCCTCAGTGTCTCTCAAGACCCATTCTACCTTGAGTCCTGGGATGGGGAGTCTGGCCTGGCCTTCTGTTTTCTGCCTACCAGAGGGATGACCAAGGTACGGGACATGAGTGGGGTCCAGCTGGTGCCCAGATTGAGAGTAGGTACAGAGGGGAGGTGGATGAACCCACCTCTGGGCAGGCCCACATGATACCCAAGCCCCCAAAAGGCCCAGGACTTGCCCTTGCTACTCAACAGCCCAGGCTCTGAGGGCACCAGACCTAGAACAACGATGCTTTCATCTCTGTGGGGGCTCCCTACGGCCAGCATGAGGCAGAGCGGGTATTTTTAACTCCTGGCTTATGTAAGAGGGAGTGTGGGCCTGACAACAGCTAATGCCGCCCCCCACATTCACCTCGCCGAGTCCCAGAAGGGAAGTATATTTTGAATTTCCTTTATTTGGACCCTGGAAGGGTAAAGGGAGAGGTGCTGACTTCTGTGACTTCTGCCCTTCGCTGGGCCGGATCACTTCCTGTTCTTGAGCAGCCTGCAGCCAATCTGCTCTCCACATCCACAGGCCTGGACAGACCTCCCTCCTGCTTACCCCTCCATAGCTTCCCAGACCCAGCACTGAGCTGTGACTTTACACAATCTCCCAGTCGGTCACACTCGCCACTTGGCCTCTGGCACCATCTGTCTCTCTCCTACTATGTGCAGTCTCTACACAAAGTCCTTCCCCACCACACCCACTCTCTGTCTATAGCACCCTCCCTCCGCACCCCTGCTGGCTCTCACCTTCCTGCCCAGCTGTCAAACCCATGGGGGGTCCCCAACCCAAGGTCCATGACCTCCAGCCCTGCTGGTCGGCACAAAGGGAGGCGATTGTGTGAACTGCCCCTCCCCACAGGCTAAAAAGGATCAAACACCTGGGCTCAGGTGGACAAGTTCCCAGCCGCAGAGCTAGCTGCTTGCCTGAGATGGATGATGCCACCCAGCTCTGTAGCAACACCACCAGATAGAAGTGTGTGTGGTGAGGATAGGGGAGTGGCAGGGTGTTGGGTGAGGACGTGCAGGTATGCACTCCTGAGAGCACACTTATGGAGGCCAGAGGAGGATGTCCGGGCCCTGCTCCATCACTCTGCCTTATTCCCTGAGACAGGGTCTCTTGCAGGAGCTGGAGCTAAGCTAGCTGGCAGCAAGGTTCATCCATCCTCCTGTCTCCGCTGTGCATGGTGCTCGAGTTGCAGTCTTTGTATACACATGCCTAGCTCTGCACCTGGCGTAGAGACCTGAACTCAGGCCCTCCTGGTAGAGACCTGAACTCAGGCCCTCCTGGCGTAGAGACCTGAACTCAGGCCCTCCTGGCGTAGAGACCGGAACTCAGGCCCTCCTGGTGTAGAGACCTGAACTCAGGCCCTCCTGGTGTAGAGACCTGAACTCAGGCCCTCCTGGTGTAGAGACCTGAACTCAGGCCCTCCTGGTGTAGAGACCTGAACTCAGGCCCTCACGTTTGCACATCCAGTTGCTGTGCTGCCTGAGTGTCTCCCTGGCCCAACAATATTCCATCTA